ATTTTATTATTTTCTATTAACACCTAAGATGGCCCAGTGTGACTCCAGAATTCTGACTTTTCTTTAGCAGCTTTCCCTAATATTGCTGAAAGTAGAATCAAACACACATTTTGTTTGCATCTGTCTTTTCCTTTCCTTTTTTCTTTCTACGACTTCTCCTTGATCTGCTGAATGCTGTACCTCTTTTTATATTAAATTGTCATACTTTCAATGTATTAATTCAGTACTCTGTAGTACCTAGACATAGCTAGGTTTTTTGTTTAGTCCTGAAACACTTCCACTGCAAATTCAGGCTAGCCATTTGTTTAAGCAAGGGATTCATAGATGTAGATAGGTAGATATTTGCAGCTGGAGGTGGTTACTTAGATCTTTAAATGTCCTGAATTCCTCCTGTGGTTATTTGTGCCTCAGTATTAATGATACAAAAAGAGAACAGGTTTTATCTAATACAAATAATTTTCTGTGACACTGTTTCTAAAGTGTGTTGATACTTTTGTGAAACTTTTTTGGTGGGACTTCTCAGTACAGCTCAGGAGTTGTAAGTATCCATTAGTCTGCTTGCTGTTTTAGTAGGTTTCGTTGTTTACATCTTGACAAAACAACTCTTGTCACTTCCACTTCCAGCCTTTTCTCTAAGCAGTGGTATCTTCTTTTTATTTTTTTTTTTTTTTGCCAAAATATGAAGAGGATCTACTTCTACAAAATTTGATAGTTGAGAACCACTCAACAAACCTATATGTATCCATTCATTATCTGCTATTTTATTAAAAAAGTGAGAAGAGGTACATAAAGTAACGTAACCCAACTAGAAAACTGCGTCCACAGTCTTTGACGGCCCAGGAAAGATTCTCAGAATGAATATGTAAGTTTTACCTGAGACAGCAATATGCCATTAATTTCTGATTGTTACCTAAAAGGTATTGAGTGTACCTACGCAAATTTTTAATCACCAAGGAGAGTAATGTTAAGAAAACTACATTTGGAACTACTAGTAAGGTATAGATCTGGAGTAATGAGATGCTAAGCATTGGGTATTTGTCTCTAATAAGTAAATGCAGGACCAACAGGCTGGGAGCTTAAAATAGGGCTTAACATATGCAAATCTTCAGCCTGTTTCAAATATGGGGCTAATTTCCGTTGTGCAAGTCACAGAAGAGAGAAATAAATCACTATATTTTTACCATAAGCTTTTATGGTATCTGTTTCCTGTTTAATTTTTAGTACAATGGCATAGATTTTATCAGAGTTGTACCAGGAATTTGAGTATAACATTGAATACTGAAGTAATTTTGAGTCCACCGCTTTGCTTGTTCTCCTGTAAAATCTTCTTCGCATTGGTATTCAAATATAAGTAACAAATAATGATGGATTTTCTTAGGCTGTCAGCAAGACTTGTGCTGATGACCTAAACCCCTTAAATTAAGTGGGACCTTTACCGTTGTCTTCAATGGGCAAGTGTTTCGCCTAGATTTTTACACTGACTTGGAGTCTACAAAGAAACGAAGCATAAGTGCTAACAAGAACCAAAGTTGAAGAGGAAACAAAATCACTATAATTTTTGGGTTTGTTTGTTTGTGAATACTGAATACAGCATGGTTTTGCGTGTGTGTGAACTAAAGTCTTGATTGTAAAGATTTCTCACATAGACACGCAAGATTGAGTAAATAGAGGGAAATAGATGGGTGTTTCTGGCCTTGTTCACTGGCAGGAGAGATTGCAGTAGATGAGACTTCAGAGTTGTACCTCCCTTTCCTCCTTCCCCAATGTGTTTACATTCAGACAGTACATACCAGTGTTGGTGCTTTAAGGCAGTGAGGACATCTGCTTATTGAGGAGCACTTCAAATGCCAATTAAACTTTTTTATTAAACCAAAAATAATTTACATGAATTTATTGTGAGCAGAAGGGGCATTTTGTTAGCTGAAGTGTGCTGTGGTATAGTCCTTGTTTTCATTTTACCCTGCCAGTGAGTCTTTGAACTACTCTGCAGACACTGCTGCTGAGATTACCAGATTAATAAATGTTTCTGAGATGTTGTGTTTCTCCATCTCCACACAGAATGATTGCGGGATGCCAGTGCAGTGATATGGATTTGTAACAGGGATGACTGTCAACAAAAAACTGTGGTTAGTGTCACTAACTTGTTTCACCTGGCATGTGATCCTGGCTGTTTCAAACCAGAAGAGAAACTGAAGTGGCAGTCATAGATAGGATGTTGAGAGTGCCATCCTCTGCTGCTTAAACTGTTTGAGTTCTTTGTTCTTTCTTCTCTTATTTCTGCAAAATCCAGAGAAGACTTTATTCATTATATAATCAGGTTTCTTAGCAGCTCATGTTTTGATCTGTCTAACCAGTCATGGTGACCTTTACCCTTGGATTCTGAAGTATGCATCATGTATGTGATGGGTTTTCCTCTTATTTTTGACACTAATTGGGTGAAAACTGCTTACCCCTGGAAAAGTGAAGGCACTGACATCTTAAAGTGAATGTTTTTTAACAGCATTTAGGAGAAGCTCATAAAAAGTTTTATTAATAATAAAAGTCAAATGACTAGAACATAAGCATTACTGCAATAGCATGTACTGATTTAAATTAATGTATTGTGATTTTACTGTTGTTTATTTAGGTTACAAATTTCTTATTTTTAAAATTAATTAATGGATTTATCATCATCAGTCTGCTCTTGCAGGGTTGCAAGTAGGCACCATCCAAATTTATGTCTTGTTTATGGTGCAACAGTCATCAGTCAGTATTTAGTTGCAGTTGTGAGGCTATTTCTAAAGCTTACAAATAATTTAAGCTTAAGATTTCCAGCTGGTATTTTGCAGCTAGAACTGTAAAATGGCTGTGTGAATCTGTAGTTTTACATGTCCTTCATATAATGTATTATTGACTCGTCGGCTTTTGCACTGTAGTCACCAATCACAACTACTGAAAAATTATTGGAAGGTGCCTAAAGAAGTCCTCTGGAAATGCGTTCTTTCTATGTTTTTGGCACACAAGTGTTGTTATAACAGAATTGCTATTTGTAATTTCACCATGATGTATTTTTGTTAAGTTAGTGTCAGCTTCTTAGAAATAGGATAAAAGATGGGTTGTACTGTTTTCCACATTAAAAAAATTTTCCACATTAAAAAAAACACCTATCCCTGAAAAAATGAAATCTAACACCTATTTAAATTCATACTGGAAAAAAAAATCAATATTAGGATAGCAAAAGAACAACTTTTTTGTATAGAATCAGATTTTGTTCTTGGTAGGGTCTCTCTGTACTTACTTAATGGCTATGAGCACAGAACTTGGTCCAAAAAATGTTACTACAGTTAGAGTTAGGTGCTCAAAAGTCAAAAAGTTAAGAGATACAAAGTAGCCTATTTAGCTTTAGGACCCTTTTTCGTAGCATTGATTGCCTTTAATTATGTAAGTGCTTTCTTCCCATCCCCCCAAGAACCTGCCCTCATTAGTAAACAGGATAAATAGTGCTCAGTTAATTAGCAGTTATTTGATACTTTGTTGTGTCTTTGTGGTTGCATTATTTATGTATTGAATGCCATTCAAACCCTGTTGAGAAGACAGAATTATTAATTTCCTAATGTGCTTTTCTCTAGAACTCCTTTCTGTATTGAGTGCTGTCCAAACATTATTTTATCATCATTTTACCTACTAGTATTTAGCAAGATTAAAATGAAGCATTTATTTCACTTCTGATACCACTTTAAGACATTACTTTTCATAACACCAGTATACAGTATTTTTTATGTCCATATTCAAATTCACTTTAATTTCAGATGTGTTTGTGACTGCTCAGATGTCCGCAGGTCAGCTGTAAGGTCTTTCACAGAGAGTGCAATACAAAACTAATGAGCACTTGTGAAAAGCATGTTTTAAAAGTCTTCTAGCTTTCTGCCTCAAAACTTCAGGATGGGAACCTGAAATTAAGTAAATTCTCCAGAGGAGCAATCAGCTAATATCACTGTCTTCTCTCACTGGAATCCTCTCCTCGTTCACCGAACTCTTGTTATTACAAGAATAACTGAATGAGAATAGAGTAAACAACACCAGAGTAGGTCTAACATTTGCACTGTCCACTGTACATGTCAATTTAAAATAAATAGTCAACAATATATTACCAAGGAGAAAGACTGCTTTAGAGTGTTTGGTTTTATGTAACCTTGGTAAAGTCATTGTAAAGCAATAATTTTCCCAGGCTCCTCTTCTCATCCTAGCCTTGGCTTCTTTACCCAATGACTCTTACTTTTCAGTCTTGGTCCCTTCTAGTAATATTAGTTATTCACTTCTGGAGCACCCAGCAATATATTTGGGACTCTGATCACAATCCCACAGATGCTGTACAACATGTTTGTTGAGTTAGCTGGATCTCACAATATGGAGCTCGAACAGGCCTTATGTATCTTATGTCAATGTTACCTCAGATGTGGAAAAACAGGTGATAACTTGATCCAACATAAAGAAAGAGTGGCATAAGACAGATATTGCACAATATGGCAGAAAGTCTACTGGTAGTTATTAAGCCATCAAAATAATTTCAACAAATCTGAACTGACAGAGTTTTTCAATATTTGACCAGTACTTTACACAATGTGGCCATTGCTTTTTTGACCCAGTACTGGGAACTCTGTAGCCAGATTTGTTGTATTATCAAACACAGTTCTGCACAGTTGTCTTGTCTTCTAAACCCCAAGACCTGCATCCATTTTCCATCTCTCACTTCCCTGCACATGATTCTATTCTCTTTCCTTTGGCCCAACTCCTCTCCCATTGTTTGCTCAAGCCCACATTTCTCACCTGCTACAGTAAATTGAAAAGATCAGTCACAGGGATATTTACTGAAAAGGGATAAATAAAATTCCATCCAAAGATCTCTCTAGGCTTGTTCCTCTCCACTAGCCCTTGGATTATTTTTTTATCTGCGAAACAGCTTTATCTTACATCTAAAATAACATACAGAATTTAATCTAAAAAAACAAAGTGGAAATCTGTGTCATGGTATTTTCTTATTTTTGAGCTTTTATGTTACTTGTCCATTTGTTTTCTGAACTCTGTTTTATTTTGCCAATTTTTTCTTTTTTTTTTTTTCCTGCAGTTTGATTTCTGATGCTAAGATCTTCGAGCAAACTAAACATTCTGTGAAACAATCAAGTAGGATAGCAATGATCACTGTCCTTAGAGTTGATGACCAGTTAAAGATATTTCCAAGTAGATACCATTAAAGAATTATTCTTTTTTCCTAGGTAAGCCACAGAATGAAAATCCCGGAGACTCTTACATCTATGAAGCAGTTCTTGCAGACGGTGAGTTGAATTCCCCTTGCATTTACTCAAATAAAGCCAGTACTCTTCAGAAAATTGAATTTGTTTTCTTACATCTCGTCAGACATGAAAGGCAATAAACTAACCTTACCATAGCAAAAGTTGTGTAGAAGAACATGCCTTGTTCTCAAACATCCACCTACACGTTCTTGTGAGGAATATGAAAAGGGGAAGAGATTCAACAGGAATGTTTCCTTTTTCCTTGAATTTCAGAGTAGAGAAAAAGGAAGACATGGAGAGCTTTCTGTTTCTGATCCTAGCATGAGGAGTTTTGCTTGTAGTAAAGAGAGAACTGATTTGAAATTTCGGATAGATCAATCCTGCTGGCGTTACATTTGCAACATCGTTCATTGGCAGCTAGTGGTTGGGAGAAGCCCTGCAACATGACTTCAGCGCCTTCAGAGTTTTAGTAGGGAAAACAGACTGGCAAAATCTTCACTTGCTTTTAGTAAAGAGCTTCATAACATATTTCCTATCCCCAGTTCTTGAACAACTTTATTTCTGGGTTGACCCTGTTGTGAAGTGATTGGCTTAAGAGCACCAGCATGCTGACTGATGGAAAAGAATGAGGAAGTTATTTTGGAATTCCTGGCATAGCAGTTCTGTGCTGCTGGACTCTGAGGTTACTGGCTCTGTGGGTCTGTTTTGCTGGCAAGGTGTAAGGGCAGAAGGATGCTGCAAGCTCAATGGCTCTTCCTTACTGGCACAAATTCAATATACATGTCAGTGATGTATGGAGTTTAGAATTTTAGCTTTTCAGTTAATTTGAAGGCATGAGCATCAACAGGTGTACTTTTAAGTTCTCCGGTTATTCCCACTTACCACGCTTTGGTTCATAGTGCAGAACAGCGTTGGAGTATGTGGATTGGATTTCTTTTGCATAAAACTTAAAAGGGAAAATGCACTCGGGGAGCTCACTGGGTGCACTTCAGACACTTAAAGTCGTGCATTCTACAGGTCCAGACCAGAACTAGTTGCAAATATGCCCCTTTGAAATGTGTGTAGCGTGGAAGGGAGTATTTAGCACCAACCATTGCTCTCAACTGAATTTTCTCCTATTAGCCCCCCCCTCCTTTCTGATAGGAACTCTTTGTGACTCTTGGTATCTCAGGTGTAGTGGTGTGATCTCAAGCAGAAAGCTGCTGTAAGGCTGCTGTAAAGTTGCACTGTTTTATCCCTACAGACCTATTAGCAAAGTTTCTAAGGATGTCTGTTTTGGTCCTGGGTTGAAGGTGCCATGAGTCAGTGTATTGAAAAAGTTTGTTGGCATAAAAAAGGCTTTTTGTCATTACTGGCTCACCATCCAGGTGGTCAATAAGCTGGCATCACTGTTCTTCTCATTCATGATCATGATGTCCAAAAAATGAGACAGTGAAAGAGGGAATGGTCAGAGAAAACAGGGAATCCCAAGAAAAGAAAGGACTGGGGCAATGCTCCTCCAAGCTACTCCCACTTTAAACCCTGACTCTTTTTATATTAATCCTTTTCTGCTTTTATATGGGGACTGGAAGAGCAGCTTTAAGTCCAAGTTTCCCATCAGCTGAATGGTTCATGTTGGAATAAAGTGAATTGAGGATTTTCCAGCTCAGAAAGTCTTGCATTAAAAGCAAAAATTTCGCTTGAACTTTGCTTCACGTAACTGACAGGATTTGACTTTGGGTGAATGGTGGAAAAATGTTTCTAGGGACTCTCTTCTCTTTGCTTCATCCTAATAAGAAGGAAGTATATGCAGTGCTAAATTGTATGTATGACACAAAACAGAAGTGTCAGGAGAAATTACAAACCAAGAAAGGATTTTTTGCTAGAATCCTGTAAATTCACAAAAGAACAGCACTTTATGTAAGGTCTTAAGTGGAGACTGGCATGCTGAAAGCTGAAGTTTGTTATGAGTATGAAGATATTGTACAAAAGAAAGGATAAGCTGAGTGAAGATGGAATTTAGACTTGAACTGGAATGGAGGCTGAACTGATCAAAAGTTAAAGCTAAATGAGAAATTTAAAGCAACAAATGTAGAAAGAGCAGTGAGTGGATGATAGGACATATAAAAAAAAAAATCCAAACCAAAGCAAGCTATATCCAAAAAAGCAAAGATAGATGGGGAATAAGCAAGTGCTAACAATCAATAAGAAGTGATTGACTAAAGTGAATTTTGCAAGGCCTTGAGGGAAAAGGTCAGACAGTACATTGGAAAATGGAAAAACAGTATGATCACTGACATCCTTTGGGGAAATACGAGCTACAAGTAGGTGTGAAAACAATTGATTTGCTAGTGAGTGATGGAAAAGATCCAGTTGTGGAATGCTAATCACCATGATATGAATATATGAGGACTCATTCCTATAGGTGATAACTGAACAAGTCAGTTCTTTAGCCATTCAGAAATGTTATATGTTTACTTTATTTCTGGTTTCTATATAAGTAAAGTAGATTTATTTTTATTACTAGAAAGCTGTATTTTGAGAAATTCCCTTGTGGTTCCTCAGGAAATTTTCTGCTCCCTGAAAGAATCATTATTTATAATCTTTACTAAGGTTGGAAAAGTGAAGCAATCTTACTAGGATCTGGGTATACAGCCTGGTAACCACACAGATAAAATGTAAATGCCTTGTTGTGGAATTGGTATTCATTATTTTACCTGCAAAATAGAGCTCACCTCAGATTTAGATACCCACTAGGTGATATTTAGCTTCAGAAAAGGCTGTTCCCCTTCTGTGAAACAGCTTTGTCTTTTTTAACATTTGCCATTAAGGCTTGTATCCTAGCACTAATTAACTGAACTAATTAGGGATGGGCAAGCGGAGCACAAAAAGATGATTTTAAAATGTAATAGCTGTCTGCCTATTTTTAACAGCAGACATCTTTTAGTCCTGTTGTCCCAAAAGTGGGATCGTTTACCTGGTGTGCAGTATGCCAATATACACACAGAGCAGAGTATTTTATTTATTTCATGTCTGCACAGAGATGGGTGCTAGGTGGTAATTCCACAAAGCTAGCACACTACACACAGAATCTACCACACATTCATCTTGTTACAAGATTAGAAAAACTCATCTAAATTTATGCTAATTGGTTTTTAATTACTGCATCATCTACTATTGGTCAAGCATATTTAAATTAGCATCCACATGCCTTGAGGGTGTGTGGGGATAATTTGCGTAGTCCTTTAAGTGGGTGGTCATGAACTCACCCAGCCGCCTTTCCCTTCCCCTAGTTACTGCTGATTTTTGTTGACTTCAGGCCTCTCTGGTAATCAGCCAGCTCTCAGTACTTTCTGGGGCGGGATGTTTCCTTTCTACCCCTTTTTCAGCTCTTCTCCAAGGATACTCTTTAGCAAAGCACACTTTTTATCAGTCTTTCTGCTCTTCTTCAAAGGTAAGTTGTTAGCAAAGCAAGGTAGTGTGTTTAACCCTAGATTAAACAGTGTCTAAGCACTAACCCAAGCACATTTCTGTCCCTGTAAAGTGGAACATTCTACTTTATAGATATCAGTCCTGCTCAGAGGTCTCATTAAACTAACATATATGTGCATCCTGTGTCACCTGTGTCCTTTACCAAACTAAATTGGAGAAAGGCCAGCACTTTGTAACAAAATAGACGGCATCCTTTCTGCAGATAAAGAAGAGCTACCAGAGTACCTCTGCTATGCTTTTCTTTCCTATAAGGCTATCTGAAATCCTATTTTACTAAGATGTCCCTATTCTGGGGTCTAGGTGTTGCATTAAAGGACAGTGTCTTAAAAGATAAAGACCTCAGATTACTTTCCTATTCAGAACCCTAACAAAAGGAAAATAATCAGGAGTTAGAAAGCAAGCATGGTTTTCAGATGTGTCTAAAAATATCACTCATGAGAAAGCAGTGTACCTTTTAGCTCACTTTATGGGTCAATAGATTTTAGCTATTTCAAACCAAAGGTGGGAGTAAATTGCAAAGCAGCCTGTCCCCTAGTGAGTCGGTCTTGCTGACAGCTCACTTCTTTTCTTTTCTTTTTTTTTTTTTGTTTCTCCTTCTTTAATACCATATGTGTCTGGCATGAGTCTTTCTGCTGACAGCTGTTGTGGCAGCATGGCATGAGGAGACATGTGGTCTCTTAGATAGACAAGTCTCATGTAATTTAGAGCCGTACAGGTCAAGAACAGCATCCTAAATTTCGTCCAAGCATTGGTAAAAGCCCCGTGCAGGTATTGGAGCTCTGCTGTCATACTCGGACTAAGACATGCTATTTTGTAAATGAGCTGCTGCAGTCCAAGCTAGCTTCTGTTACCAGATTGATTTAAGGGATAGTATCACTTGGAGTATATTGTCTTGTGTTAGTAAACATTTGGATACTATTAATGATATGTATCCTGTACTTTTAGTAGGGTGAAGGTTGAGAATGCCAGCTACCAGCATCTCTCCCCCTAGCCTCTCCTAATGCAGTTGTTAAAGGACTTTTCAATTATGTTAAACTTCATGACCTTCCAGCCATGTTATTTTTTTGAACTTTGATGACTGTAAAGAATACTTTTCATCAAGAGAATAGCTTCAAACATGGCCAAGAGGGGAAATTTGGCTACTCAGTGGTTGTTCCTTGAGGGTGATATCTGTAAAAACTTAAACCCCTATTCAGCCTGAAATCGGAGCTTTTGGCCTGCTTGCCAGTTGCGCTTCCCTGAAATATGACTTGATTCTAAAATGCTCTCCTCTAGCTGTGTTCTTTTATATCTGTGTAATTCAAAATGTAGCCACATGCCACTTCTGTGTCCAAGCACAGTGTGCAATTTGTGCCAGGCCAGTTATAAGAGGCTTAAATTGTAGTTTACAGATAATAGAGCCACTAGGCAGCTGCAACTAGCCCTTTGGAATAATAAGGAAGTTGCAGGCCCATTTTATCACACAAACAAGTTTTGGAGGCCTGCTCAGAACCCTGGATGCCTGTGCTATCAGTCCTTTTGTCTTCAGTGGTAATTTCAGCCAACAGCAGGAGGATAACTTGTCTCTTTGG